AACCGCCTTGCTGAAGAAGCTGAAGGTAAAGGTGATGGACTGGCCAAGTATGTCTCCAGATCTAAACCCAATTGAGAACCTGTGGGGCATCCTCAAGCGGAAGGAGGAGGAGCGCAAAGTGTCTAACATCCACCAGCTCCGTGATGTCATCATGGAGGAGTGGAAGAGGATTCAAGTAGCAACCTGTGCAGCTCTGGTGAATTCCATGCCCAACAGGGTTAAGGCAGTGCTAGATAATAATGGTGGTCACACAAAATATTGACACTTTGAGCACAATTTGGACAATGTTCACTGTTAGGTGTACTCACTTGTGCATTAATGGCTGTGTGTTGAGTTTTCAGAGGACAGTAAATCTATACTGCTGTACAAGCTGTACACTGACTACTTTAAGTTATATCCAAGTTTCATTTCTATAGTGTTGTCCCATGAAAATATATAATAAAACATTTGCAGAAACGTTACCAATAACCAAAGTATCTTCACATAAAATACATAATGTAAAAATCTATTTACTGTGGTATTGATCTCAAAATACTAAAAGGTTCAAGCCATATGCAGATGTTATAGAGTCCCTATACAGTGAAATGCATCAAATACTAACTAAACCTCCTACAGGGTTAATGGGACAGTGTACTTTAAAGTACTCATCCTGGCCTTGCATTAACTGTAAATTCAGAAGAATCCTTAAAAGCTTGAAAAGATAAAAAAAAAGTCAAGTATATGAAACTGTGAATGTTTGTGATTCCTCTGTGTAATTTGTGATTTGTGATGATGATCTTATTTTTAATTAAGCACTTTATGTCTGAGCCATGATGTAAAAGTTCTAAAAGGTAAATGACAACTTGGAACAGAAAATATCAGACGGTATCTGCTACAAATCTTCCACAGATCTTCTATCTCATAGTATTGCATTTAGTCCGGTGATGAGTGTTATTGAAGTCTCCTTTCCTCAAGTGATTTACATGAAATTAATCTTTGTGTTTGACATCCCTGTTTAATAATGTCAGAAGATTAAAAGGACTGGCCTGCTGACAAATAGTCTTGATCAACTGTCCAGATATCAAAACAAACATTAACAAAAATACATATTTTACCCAACATTCATCATATGTATTAAACATTCTGGTACAGTTTTATTGAGATATTGAACGTTTTTTGTCCAGATCCTTTGGTGGATTCTTCAGTCAGTGTGCAAATTAGCTAGCTAAGCCGAGTTTACTTACAAAGCACACAGAAAAAGAGCAACAGCCAGCTGTTTTCTGTACAACAAAGCAAACGACTCCAAACAAAATTGGTAATATTAATAAAATATAAAATAGAACATCAAATAGTAGCTAAAACTGTGTTAAAATCAAAATACAAAAGAAGAAAAACATCAAAACAGGCACTGTACAAAACAGAAGACAGAATATTTAACAGTGTAGACGGTGTAGAGAGGCCAGTACTGTGGAAATACTGCCCTCTCCTGGCCAGTCAGGAACACTGTGGCTGCATTCTGAACCAGCTGGAAGTGTTAAATTGATGACTGACTGATTCCCGTCTGAAGAGAATTACAATAGCCAAGCTGGAATAACATGAACAAACAGACAACCACTTCCAAATTCTTAAATAAGAGGAACGTGAACAGTTACTTTGTCTGATTTGAGCTTGAGGTTTAGAAAGAGAATGGTGGGGCCTTATTGTCCTTCTTTTTTGTTGCTTTTAGCTGTGTAGTCCTTAGCTAATAAGCTAACAGGCAATAAAGTAACCTATGTGGCTTTGTGCCCACTCACAACATCATTCAAATACTGTACTTTTAAAATATTATATACACAGGGAGGTTCACTCAAAAGAGGCCCCGATTATTCTGTAATAACTCTCGCTAGGATGAAGCAATCTGAACGAAACAATGTGCAACGTGCTCCTCAGCATGTGGAGCTTCGAACAAGCCAGGATGCCCCTGTGTCAGAGTGATGAGGTAGACGCCGGACAGCCATCGCGACGTTTAGCGTTCGTTTGCAACTTCCGGGTTCATACCCCCGTACCCCTTCATGTGTCTGGAAGAAAATGGAGATCACTTCCAGCATCGCATGTAATGCAATCGATTACACATACGTCAAGGTATGTAGCGTATTTTTTTAATCAGATTGCTTCGTCCTAACAGGAGTTACAATAGAATATTCAGGGCCTCTTTCGAGTGAATCTCCCTGCATATATGTAATTGCTCTGGCTTATAAACAGCCTCGTCTGCTATTTTTGATTTTTTTAAATTGAAAAGAGTCTTTCACCAGTTCGCAATGGTTCCTGGATAAAGGTCATCTAACAAACTTCACTTGAGCTAATGATCAAGATGGCATCAGGTATTCCCTCAAAGGGAGAGTGGAGAGATACAGGCACTATAGAATATGTAGTAGTAGTATGAGAAAACACAATAATGGATCCTTTTCTCACATCTATATTCGACACAGTGGAAGTCGTCTCAGTAGGTAAACATTACAGCAGCGGCGGCGTTTACGAATGAGAATGTAGACTCTTACATTTTTACTTTCTTATTAAGGTATTTTTCCATGAAAATCTTCACTGAGTTGGTGGAACAGTTTTCATTTTCAGAGAGGGGCAAACTTAACAAGGTCTACAGCAGGGCCATCACTAGAGGTTTATGGATGGGGGGGCTAAGGCTTCACTAGGGGGTCTGGGGGGATGGTCTCCCAAGAGTTTTTTTTTTTAATGGACCCAAAATATCTGTTCACCATGATTTTTTTAGAGTAGCAACAGACTATTTGGTGTAGTTGGCGCACAGATATTCTGTCTGTCTGTTCATAGCGTATATTAAGCATGGATCTAATATGACTTTGCTATTCATCTACTTACAACAGGAACAAATCAGGCAGTACACAGATTGTAGATGAGTAACTGATCAGACTTCCTTCAGCCTGTCAGTCACTCTCCTTTAGTTTTGTTCCCTCGATCTCCTCGTCTATGTTTAGTAACATAATTTTTTAAAACTTAGATTTACCAAACATCAAGGCTCAATGAAAGATCACATTCACTCACGCACACACACACACACACACACACACACACACACACACACACACACACACACCTTTTCTAAGCCGCTTATCCTTCTGGGTTGTGGGGGGAGCTGGAGCTTAATGAGAAATCAATTTGTTACATTTTTTATTTGAACTTCCAAAAAATCTCACCTGACTGCCTTTTTGACTCTCTTACAGAAACATTTTGCACGTCCATCTACAGGCTGAGGAATTAAAATTGTTAACTTACTTTAAACACTGTCTGTGGCTTCTACTGATATGGCTTGTAGTGGCTTATAGTTTCAAGCACTGAAGACAAATATGAAAACAAAGCCATCAATAACACTATTTATTACATTATTAAAATCTTTCATGGAAAAAACTGACAAATTCCTTAATAAGGACATTAAAAAGTGAGTCCTCTACATCAGAGAAATTATAAAGGAGGACTTTGTCTACATTTCTATTTGTAAACACCTCTGCTGCTGTTATGATGACTTTCAATGCATCAAATACAGAAGCGTCAGAATTGTCTATCCACACTTTTTGTAAAATAAATAAATAAAATAATGATTCCTCTAATGAAACTGTCTCAACGTTCGCACAGAAAGTTTGCCTTATTTATTTTTTCACATAACAAAGCTTACACCAGGTATAACAGCAGTTAGCAGCACACAATTTAGAAGTCCACCAACCTCACATCTTCATTAAATTTAACAACTCCACATGTTGGTACATCTAATGCAATCAAAAAATTAATTTGTAATACTGTAATAAGTACATTGTAATAGGTGAGTAGCTACAAGTGTGGGTTTTCAGCAGGAAGTGAACACACAGCTAAGTAGCATGAATTCCATTTCCCACCATCATCCAGTATAAATGTGTTTGCTGCAGCGTTCTTCAAGATTTATTTTGTCTTACTGAATTCTGGGTCTGCCTTTGGTACACGGAAGTGTGTTTTCACTCTCACACTATAATGAAAAGCAAAAGCTTATGCATCACACTTCACATCACAGATGTGTTATATGATGCCACACTCAGCCAAGAACTCAGCAAAGACCCCCAAAGTAAACTGTGTCCAATTATCTCCATTTTTGTCATTTCTCAGTTTTTGACATAATGTGAAAATGCCTGTTGTCCTATACATTGTGTGTAAATTTCATGATAGGGTTGGTTGCTAGTTGACAGGGTTGGACAAAGTACTTGAACAAGTAGTGATGGTTGAATACTGAATGCACTGTCCTAAATGTATACAGCATCATATTCAATTACAACACATATAAAGTGACAAATACTGAATATATTTAGAATGCAGTTACAGTACATCCTGGTAAAGCTCACAGGAAAAACATTTATTTTTGTTTTTTTACTTGTTTTGCTGTTCCTCACTGTTACTGTTTTCTTCATTATCCTCTTACTACTGTAGTGTGGGGGGTGCAACTCAAAGTTCATGGGGGGTGCAACTCAAAGTTCATGTGCACATTTTTTTCTTGTTTTTTTACAAGAAAAAAAACTTGCTCTGTAACCCAGCTCACGTCTCTTCCTCCCTCTCTCACTCTCTCTCTCTCTCTCTCTCTCACTGCACACACACACAGCCCAGAGGTGGTTCCCAGTTTGACCCACTTGCAATCCCCCTTTAAAACTGATCTGGGCACACTACTGGTGCTGCTAGAACTCAAGTAGCTTTTGGTGCTTCCTCAGAGCTGAGCTTTGCATTAATGACACTGTGTCCATGTTAACATAAAAAACAGGAGCAGACAATGTAGCAGCTCACTACAACAGAAGTTTAGGAACTTGACATTCATAACAAATATCAGCAAATTAAGAATGAAAAACTTGAATAACTGGAGTATATAACAGTACTGATGTTTAGCAATGTGAATGTACAGGTTCAGTGTAGAAAGTCTAAGAGTCATCCTTGCAAGCTAACTTGTAATCCTGCTTCATGGTGCTCCTCTGTAGTACTTACTAAGACTTCACACTCACCTCAGCTGGGAGATGTAGGGCAGACACTGAAGGAAACTCCTCACTTCACTCTCTTCATCTGGCCAGCCTGTCAGCTCTACTGGTTTCTTCTCTGTTTGGAGTTTCAGCACTTCTAGGAAGAGGGAGCTCTTTCTCTCTGAGAGGTCAATGATCCAGACTGCAGGAGCTGACTGGTAAACTGGCTGTAATGCTGGAAGAACACTCCTGCCTGTCTGAGTCTCATAGTTCTTCACATATGAGTACAGATCCAGCATGAAATTCCACTGAGAGTCAGGATCTTCTTTATGAAAAGGGAAGGCTGAGTAGCTGCACACAGATGTCAGCAGTTCAATGAATCTCTCTCCTGTAGCTGAATCACTCTCTGCTGCTGCTGCTACAATCAGATTCAGCAGAAACTGAAACGCAGACTTTTTCTTTTGTTCTTCATGTGAAACAGAAAAACAAAATCTGTACAAAAAAAAGAAAAATGAGAAGAATTAAGTCAGTAAGGTTAATATATAATATACAGATTTATTTGAAAACAACAAATTATATTTGATGGTTTGATGGTTTCTGCAAAAATGTATATAATGTCCTGGAAATATTGGTATTAGTTCAGGAAAGTGTAAAGTTGGGATAATAATTCAAAAAGCTTTGTTTTATAGTAAATATACAAGAAATAAAATGTTTTATATGAGAATAAAGTTGTTTATAAATTGTGATCTGCATCTCCATTTATAATATTACAGGGTGCAAAACTCTGACATGTGTAGCCTCACTTTGCGGTAGCGCTCATCCGTCCTCATGTGACTCTGCAGCATTTCGAGCTATAAAAGGTTTGAAGAGACACTCACTAATATTTCCAGCACAACTAATTTCTAATTTCTCATTTTCCATTTTTTTTTGGTGAAGATATCTAACAATAGTCAGCACAATATTTTCCTGTTAAAAACTATAATCATCCCCTCCAGAAACACACACACTGTCTGCTGCTGCAAGACCTTTTTCTATGCTAGCTTTAGCTTATATGCTCTTTATCCTCACCTGATCTATTGAAAATCACGTCAGCATGTTTCAGTAATAAACCTCTTGTTTTGAAGCTGGAAGTAACTGCAAACATGACTGTGAAAGTGCGTTTGTGAGCTGTGTGATCAGGACTGTTCCTTCTCTTTAAATTATTCACACAAAAGAGATTTTCATGCCAATGACTCCCCTCACTGGAGAATTACACATACATGAGTGAGTGAGTCCTAAATCCACAATTAAAAGCTTATTTAAAAATGTAAAAAGAAAGTTTTCCATCATTATAGCAGAGTCACTAAAGAATTCAGCTATAGATGCCTGTGGAAGTATTATAGTTTCTAAATCTTACAACTCATTTGATCTTCTGAAACACATTTCCTGAAATCCGATTGATTTTTATCAAAACCTTCAACAGAATCTCAAAACTCTATTCCAGAGTAAATTCATTAAAATGCATCTGTCTGGAAAAAAGCAAACAACTGAATCTGAAACAGGTTAACTTTACTCATGAAACACTGATTTAAACACACACACACACACACACACACACACACACAAATTAAATATCAAATGTATAGAAACTACTCATTATCAACTAATGCTACTGCAATCAATTGAAAACATTTTTCAAAGACGCAAATGACTCTGTAACAATTTCACAAAGAGAAAAGGAGACATATGCAGGTACATAAATATGGTGGAGCCGATCTGCCAAAATTTTTTAAATAAATGACTCAGTAACTTAATATATGAATAAGAATCGCAAACAATAATGATGATAGATCTAAAAATAAATAGACGTACAAAGAAATTAATATATTAATAAATAAAACCTTACATAAATAAATGTCTGCATTATGTCTATTTAGTAATTTCCCCTCCTAACTCATTTTTGTATTTATTTATTTTGTTATTTATATGTATTCATCTATACTTTCTTTTTTATTCATTTATTTCCATAACTAATAATTTCTATATTTATTTATTTACCTATTTATTTATTTCTATAGTTCCTTGTCCTTATGCTAATAAAAGGGCTTTTTCTGCAAAATTCAGATCACACCCAGACATTTGGACGCCCATCTCACACACTGCTTGTGGAAGCCATCGAAAGTTATTTATGGGCAGGTTTGTCTGTCCGTGACTGCAGTTCTTTTTGGAGTTGGTGAAAGAACAGTGTAATCAACACTTGCTAAGCCTGAACATGAAAAACACGCCCCCTCATTATCATAGAAATAAAAAATGAATTTATGAAATAAATAAATAAATGAATGAATCAATAAATAAAGTGAACAACTGTTAAAAATATAGATACAGAAAAAAATGTTTAACAATGAACATAGGGATTAATAAAAAATATAAAAAATACAGATATAAACTGAGAAATATATAACCACAGACAAGGAAAATATATGTATAATTACAATATATACTTTATTTAGTTATTTTTATTTATTGATTCATTTATTGAGTAATTTATTTTTTAATTTGATTTATTTTTCATTTTAGCAGCTCTGGTCCGCCATACATAAAAGGGTGCTGAAGGAAAGAAAATAGGCCTACAATCAGATTATTTATTCATGGAGATATAAAGGGCTGTTCTTCTTGATTGCTTACACACATTTCAGGACACTGTGTCTCTGACCTCAAATAGTCACACACATTCTCTAAATAGAACTCACATTTAGCAGATTTCCCATATTGAGAGAAAATGAACGTCTGACTACAAAAACATGAGTAAAAATTTAATATTCACAACAAAACAGTGATCATATGAATTTCTACACATCAGGTTTTTCTCACTGCAGAGAGAAACTGAGAACACAGCCGTTTCAGTGAGTTTGTTCTGCTGTCTTTGGACTAAAGAAAATGCAGACAGACTAGAGGCAATAAGAAGACATTTTATATAAACGTACTGAATTATTCATTAATGGCTTTATTATTTGAGGTTTTAGTGTTGTTTTTGTTTTTATTGTATTACTGTGATACAAAATAGACACCACGTTTCCAAAATGTAAAAAATAAATTCAGACATATTTAAAACAGTTACAAGGTGTTGGCTGAATAAACAAACAAACAAAGGTAAGTATGCAGGCTGCTGTCTCTCATTTCTATGTGAGCATTAAAAAAGTGATCTACATCACATACAATGTGCTGTCGACACAGTGTTCTAAAAATCTTCTACAATCATCTAGAACGTGTTCTCCAGTCCTGATAGTTCCTGACTCTGATGTTCCTAAATGCATCCTCCATAACATGAAGCAGGTGATCTGCCGATGAGGATTTTGCTCATAGACCTTCAAAATCAAGAGAGGAAAACTTAAATTGGATTTAGAAATGGTGAAGATGGTGAAGACGGTGAAGACGGTCGGAGGTGTAAATCAGAGTCTTAGTTCATCCTGGAATGAAGCTTGTACGACTTCAACAGGGTCACACAGGCCCAACACAGAGCAGAGACGTCTACTGTTCCTCTCCTCCTGCATCCCTACTAATGTGAGACCAAATATTCTCTATAGGATATATATATCTGGTCTCTGACCAACCCAAACCCATCAGTAAAGACCATTATATTTTGGGCTTGGCTCTATTTTGCCCAGGAGTGTACATGCATTATACACTATTAGACACTCACATCTATCTCTCTCTATATTCATTCTATATTTTGATATATGAGAAATGACACTTTGACTTAAATTTTTCTTTATTCTCCCACTAATAGACCTAACAGTACCTGCAGGGCTGGCCCTTCTTTCACCGAGGCTAACTGCATTGCTTTCACCTCAAATTGTTGCCGGTAAACTGATCAACACTCAATATCATCCTAACACCTGACCTTAGGCAGATTCATTGGCTCTAGCCGCAGTGTTCACTAAGTCACATCGGGGGCTGGAAGCAGCACTGGGCGAGGACTCCATGGAGGACACAAGTTCAATGCCTATCGACCACTGCAGGTCGGCCATTTCCTCGGTTAATCTATGTGTGGGAGAGGGCGCTGCACCCCTTTGCTCTGCATGCTGCAAGAATGGGTCATCCCCTGGTCACCAATGCTTTGGGATGGCTCGCTGCTTTCTTTCACCATCTTCAGGAGAATGTACATTTCTCCTGGGCCCCCTAGCCCAGTTCTTTGCAGTGTCTTCTCATCCTCTGCTGTCCATGCGTCCCTCTGTCACTCCAGGCACCTCCTAGTGCTTCCTATCTGGCGCCCCGCTAAATCCTTGCACCGCCACTGGGATCATCCTCTCCTTGCCGTTTCTTCTGCCAATTCTGACACCATTGCAGCATGGGGGTGCACAGAAGGAGATTAGACAACTCAAAGTTTGGTCCATAGTGAAGCATTGTTTAGAATTGACACAGTAGCCGGAGTACAAGAAACGAAACTTGCCCTCTGGCTCAGATCATGTCTGTTCCTCCCTCTCTCCAGCCCGGTGGTGTGTCTGTTTGTAGTTACTGTGTATCTAAGGCTGTATGTTGTGCTCGGCCTAAAAAAAACCATGTCCAATACCTAAATCCACATTGGGATAAGCTTTAAAATGCTGACAGTATCACTGCTATCACAGTTATGCTTATTGGTTAAAATATTTTACTTATAACTCTGGGTTAAAGGCTGCTTCAGTCAAGGTGTCTCAGAGCAGCCAAGACCAAAGAGGGTGGAAATAGTTTTTAAATGTTATTCATTACACACTGATTTAAGGTTATTTCTCAGTAATATTTATTACAGATACTATACACTGGTTTTCTGAAAAAAAAAAAACTCCTATTGAGTAAACAATCTGTAAGGTTTTGTTTTGAAAGAAATTAGGAATCTAAACTGTCAGTGGAACTGGAATTGGCAAATCTCACACAATCCTCAACAGTATTCAGTAGTAGTTCCATTTCATCTTGAGATGAAATGTAACTATGAACATTTTCATTTAGTTAGCTAGCTAGAAAACGCATTAGTTAACTGGAAACACATCTCAATATATCATATTACAATATATCAGGTACGTACTGTGATTACGTTAAAAATTTTTAATGATACAATGTGTGATAGTGATGCCATTTCACTGTAACAAAATTTTTATATAACCTACGCTAAAACCTACGTCAAATTACGCTATTTTTGATGTCCTTTCTAACTGTTTTCTGATGTTTCTAACTGTTTTGATACTCTTACAAAACACTGTATTTCTCTATATGAGCCAGTACTGTGTAACTGATTGGTCGAGCCTGTGATCGATGTGCAATTAGTTCAGACTGAGCGCGGGAACCTAGAGAATGCACGTTTAGCTTGCATCACTTATATAGCAATGCAGCTGTGAGCAGTACGCATCGTGTCCTGTGTTTGCTTTAAAGCTAATATTCTCTATCATTCCCCCTCTCAGGGGTGTAACACAGACAATGTAAGAGCTTGCTACAAAGTAATTTTAGGAACTTGACATTCCCTACAAATATCATTTATTTGA